GCCCACAGCATGGTCATTTTTCTTGTTTCTCTTTCCAAGAAATGAAAGTGTCTGGAAGCCTGTGGATTAAGCAGGGAGAGAGATATGGCTGTGATCTTTGAACTTTGGTGTTTGCTTTCTTTTACCTTGCTGGGGTGGCAGAGGTAGATATCTTGCTTTGTATTTCTTGCTGTTGTTAGACACTTAATGCAGTCTGAAATCAGCCACTGCCAGGATGGGTAATTTTTCCCTCCTTTCTTAGACATTCCTTCCTGTAGAAGGAGCTGCTTGGTGAAGAATATGGCTAAAAACAACATTTTATTCTTTTCAGTGAGATAAATCCCCCTGTCAAGCTCACCACAAGCTGCACAGACCCTGGTACTGATAGGGAGGTACTGTTCTTGCTTCACTGCCTAATATGTCATTCATCAAAGCCTTGAGTATTTTCTAGTTTCAAGTAACTGTGCTATCTAGTTTGATCTACTTCACTATAAAAATAAAGAGGAAAGAGACATCCTCTGTTTTAGCAGGTGAGGATGCATATATGAAAGATACTGTGGAGTAATTTAGGTATTTAAAACATGTGGAGGGAGCCCTACCATTTGGCCCTTTTTCTACATAATGTATGAATTAAATGTGCTTTCTTATATATGTCTTGTCACATGTTTTTCTAGGGCCTGGGGGCTGCATGTTCTGCATTAGACCAGTACATTTCATCATAACACAATTGGCTGGTGGCAGACAGATCTGTCTTGAACAGCTGGATACATCTAATATCACCTATTTTCATGTGTACAGTTTGCCCCTGCAGTTACAGCAGATAACCCCTTTAAAAATACTCGGGATTGGAAAGGATCCCTTGGGTAACATGCATGCTCAAAACCACACACATCCACATACACAAAATCAGAGGCAGGGGTTGAGTGGAGATGGGATTGGGGATGCAGAGGTTATGGAGTAAAAGCAATAAGCAAAGATCTGTGGCTGGGAAGCTCTCTCAGGGTGTGTATCTGGGGTAGACTTCCCTTCATCTCTTCCCCATTCTGCATAAATCACAGTGCTTCTCAAGCACAGGTTGTTTTTTTGTTTCTGCAGACAACCTCTGCATGATGTGAGTGAAGATGCCGTGCCAGTTCTTCTTATGTGCTGTACATTTTATGTGACTATAAAAATAAAAATTTATGCTCCTTGCTGCTTACCGTCTACATTTTTTCCTCTCATGTCTGCTCTGAGCAGTCATAAAAAGGTTACCTTGTGCTGTAGCTGGGATTTAAGATCAAGGATTTTATTAGCTTGCAGGAAGGCTCTTCCTCCTCGTCTACATTCAAACCAGATAATTTCTCTTCTGTTAGCAGCAGGATCAAACCCTGAAAACCAATGGAAGAAGCTTCCTTTGACCTAAATGGTGCAAGGCCAAGCTTTTAGGCTCCTGTTTTGTGTGTCAAAGACTATTACTGTCACAGGAAGCATAAGCAGCCACAGCTTCCTGCATAGTAACAGGAGACTGTGCTTCTAAAAATTACTCTATGAAGTCCTTTTGCAGAGCAGCCTCCCCGGGGTTCTCCATCTGTTTTTATATGGAAATTAATAAAAAATTGTTTGGCTAATAAACTGCTCCTTGGTATCTCTGAAATATGACCATTTCTTTTCTTTCCTTCCCTCGGACAGTATTAGATTCCTGTCTGCCCCTGTGCACCCATGTGGGAAGCATCACTAGTATGAGATACACAGCAATTGTTAATGTTTCAGCTCCATAGCAAGGCTTTTAAAGGGTGAAGATTTTGGTGTGTGGCTGAAGGAAATGGTGCTGTGGACAGCTGTGTAGTGCTGAGGGCTGCCCTCATTCTTAGAAATAGTAAAGAAAAGGAAGAGAGGAAAATTAAGCTCTTTGTACACTACTGTCATTTCTGCAAGAGCCCATTTCTTGTTTGCAATTACAGAAAAAATATTTCCAGGAAAAATGGGACTGAGGCTTGAACCTGTTCTACTCAGCAGCACTGCTGTGGGATGTAGGGCTGATGGTGGTAATTTGAAGTGCTGTGTTCAAAAGTTCTGGACCAGCTGGCAGGGGATATTCTAGCTGCTTCATTGGGAAACTGATGAGAGAAAAATAAACATGTACTGTGAGAACAAGCATAAGATCAGGAGGGATCTTTGTGATCTTCAATCTGACTGCTCCCTAATGCAAACCAGAGGACTTTCCCTCTTCTGGTCAAGTACATGTGAACAAAATTTTGCCAAGACAGCCAGTCCAGATTTGGAAGTTTCCCGACAGTTAATCACCCAGTGATATATACCAAGGGACACCTACCCACTTTGTTAAAACACCTACTTAACGTCTGCCCTGTATTTGCACCTTTCAGCTTTTTATCTTGCTGCATCCTCCTCTGCTGTGTCACAAGGATGCTTTTGGTTTTGATGTAGGCAGACTGACATCAGATTTTACCTTCTCGTGCCTTAAACAGAATAATCTGAGCTCCTTTGCTTCCTTATCCAAGGGCTTTGACTCAGCCACAGCAGCAGTGCTTCTCCCCATTGCCCATTCTCTCTCCTTTTATATCAGCAGGAGGAGAAACTGAGCTGCCACTCTGAGATTACCCTGCTGTGGAGGTGTTTCTAGTCCTGGTGGTAACTCACAGAGGCAGTGGCTGCTATAGTGGGGTGGGATCATCAGACATAGCAAAATAACTTGGGGATCATGGACATCTTCTGGTCATTAATCAGCATTCTGCCTGCGTGGTGAGCACAAGAGCAGGACACAGATTGCCAGTGCCTGTCTGAGAGATTCAGAAGGGACAAGGAATCAAGGCTGACATAGTTCTTTGGGCTTTGGCATCACACTGAGAACTGACACTAGCTTATCATCCATTCTGAGTTTAAGCAAGGCCACAGCTGGATCAACTTTAAGAAAAAAAAAAAAAAAAAAGGCCCAACTTCAAATATTTGCCTGTAGCTTTGTGTTATTTTTATATGTTACTTGTAAGTCATCACCTTCTCAAGTCAGTAGGGACTGAACATGGAACTACAGCCAGGAACTTTGGGAATCTAATCAACTTCTCTGTCTTCAGACTTCTAGTAGATTATTCCAAAAGTAATGCTTTTGGTTTCTCTGTTTCCAGGCCTGTTTTCCTGACTTTTGGAAGCAGAAGCTCACTGTTGTCTTAGGGGCTCATTAGGTTCAATCACGTAGTTTCAAGGTTTTATAGATGCAAAACATGAATTTTTACAGCTGATTTTCAGAGAAAAATGTTGGAGTCTATTGTACTTCCTGAATGAATTTACTACAAAGAGTGAGTTTATTCCATTGCATAAATTAATTCCATTTACCCCTAAAGGCATTAAAATAAACAAAAACCCAAAACAAAACAAAACAACAACAAACAAAAGCTTATGTGAATTTCTGTTTTCCAGTGTGTCTGCTAATTTAGACATACATATTTTATGGCAGGTGTGATGGCAATCTAAACAGACTCTTTCCAGCCATGCTGCAGAGCTAAAAATATTGCCTGCCCAGTAATTTAGAAGTGGGCTGGCTGCTTCTGAGGTATACTGAATCTTGAGGGGTTTTTAAGTCCATTTTATGTGTCTTCTGATCACCAGGAAAGATTTATTTTCTCTAATGCACAAAAATAATCTGAAATGTTGAATTCTTCAAGGATCCATAGAGCCAAATGGGCACAGTCTTAGGTGTTAAAATGATACAATTACAAGTTTTGTGTGGGTGTGATGTGTTTAAGTGTGAGTGTACCAGGCATAAATAGTTGATCTAAAGTTCTGCACAAAATTTCAAAACAGACCAGCAAAATCTTAGATCTGTGGGAAGACCAGGACCATATTGCCAAATTTAAAAATGCTTAACTTTTTTTCTGTCATCCATTCAAGTAAAACTATTTCCCCAGCATACATAATGCTAAAAACTATGATACTTGTGTTTCTTGGTTTCCTGTTACAGGAAAGACTCAGTTACTAGGTAGAAGCCTAATTACTGGTCAGTTGCATTCTTTTAAATACAAATGTTCATGTAAATGTTCAACAGAGCTCTTCAGGGTTGTTAAAATGTTATTCATTGTATTCAGATTTGTACCTAAATGCTTCATGAATACTTGGCAGAGGCAGTTTCCTTAAATGTTATGAAATCCAAGAACCATTAATCCTTTTGCCATATTTGTGGAGCAGGATTTGTCTGCCTCGATGCATGTTTAATTATGGGGTTTTGACTTAGGCAGCTTCCCATGGATTACAGTTTCACTTGATATTGCTGTTAACTTTGCTTGAATGAGGAGTAAAAATTGATTTTTGCTAAAAAGATTTGTGAACACTTGTGTCGTTTTCTCTGTGCAATCAGGAGAATTTGCTGTGGTTCTCAATTCCCTCTCCGGCAAAGTCATCTTAATAATAATTTTGCTTTAAATCCACTGCATATTCTGTATTTTTAAAGTATGGCAACACTACATATAGATAAATTGTTAAAGTTTGAAATATCAATCATTTTGACATAATTTGATTAAGTTTTGTAATGTCCTTGCAGAGTGGAGTAAATCATTAGATGCTCAAAATGAGAAAGGCTGGTACCAATATAGCTGTTGAAATGCTGGACAAGCACAGTGTTCCTGATGCAGTTGTCTCTAGGCCAGTCCCTTAAATCAGTCAACTTCTTTTTCATCTGTGGTTTCAGTCCTTTATTCTGATGCCCTTGGGCCAAAACTATTGTCTTCTGTTTGGTTCCAGCATTGCAGAGGAATGTTAAATTCATCCATGGCTATGTTTAATCCCTTCTTATGAATGTTAATACTCTTTCCAGTAGCTTTAGTTTGTTATAGTGGAAATTGGACCCTAAGAATCAAGATAGATCAGATACCACAAAACATGTAGCCATGTAAGAGAACTGATTTTCAGGACAGTAACAGAGATCTTCAGATGACATTTAAACCAGTTGAAAGTATTTCTTTTGAGGAAAATTCTGCCAATCTTTTCTACTTGGTAAGACAAAGACACTTTTTCAGCCTTCTCTCTCATTTTAGGCTGGGAATGGAGTGCATAATTTGGATACCAGCAGTGGGACATCTTACCAGAACAAAGCATCCATGGAACCATTTTTAATCAATGACTTCTAAGTGCAGGATTGGTGCTGTTGGATTGCAAACAAGTGCTACAAGATGCCAGGTGAGGTGACTGAAAGCAGCAGCAGGATGGAGGAGACTGTGCAAAAAGACAGCAAATCTGGAGGCCAGAGCCCTCGCTGTGGCACCATGAGAAGGGCTGTGGCAACCACTGTCACCTTTGATGGGGAAGCCACTATGGACCGCAGGAAAAGGAAGAAGAAAGAGTCCCGCCCCGAGTCAATAATAGTGTATCGGTCCGAGAATGACAATAAGGTGGAAGAAGAACAAGCAGATGAAGAAGGAGGGGAGAGGAGCTCTGAGGAAGGCTCCAAGTTCCTGGGTCAGTCTATGACAGATGGTATGTAGTTCTGAGAACTCTCATTTCACATAAGCTTTTTTGATGCCATCATGCTCTAAGGTCAAATGGAAATGACTGTGGGACCAACCATCTCCAAGCAAGGAGAGCTTGAGTTCATACATGAAAATGCTCTGAAAAAGAAAGCATTACAAGCTGATTTGGGTTGTCTCCTGCAGTTCTTTGCAAAGATTGGTTATTGCTACAGTCTTAGTTTTAAAAGTATGTGCTGGTTGTGGTTGATTTGCTGGTTGCAGTGCTATGCATGCATTAAGCCAATTATATCATTCTAAGCTGTGATCAAGCCACTGTCCATGCCTGAACAACTGCCTGTTAAGTGAAAGGATGGAAGCAGATGGAGTTAGTGCTCTACCTTTGATAGGGAATTTAACTCATTATCTAGGATTTGCTGTTGCCTTCTGTTTGCATACACTCAGCACGGCTCCCTCTTGAAGGGTGATTATTTGGCAATGTCATCATGGGGCATCTTCGAGTCACTTTCACTCTGCTATCAGTCCTTGGTACCCTTGCAGGGAAGAAGTGTGGAAGGCAGGTCCTGTGGCTAAATACTCCTGTGAGTCAGCAGTGCAGGCTGAGAGGGGCTTAAATGCTCCTGGTCCACCAGATGCTCCCATGATCTCAGACCCTATCATTACTTGCCCGCTGCCTTCCTACTTTTGTGGAGCGCTTCAAGCTGCTCAGTCTTTTTTGAAGAGTTTCTGAAGACCTTCTTCCAAGCTAGTCAGAATTAAGACCAGGAGGAAATATACTGTAATCCCAAAGAGGAGTTTATGGTCAGTACCACTGCATGGCCCATCCTATAACAATGTCACTTGAAAGCTAAAGCAGTCCCTTTGTAACTTTAACACATATACCAGCACTGTCCAGTTTGGTGCCTCTACTGATCTCTTAAAATGCAAATATAATTTTATGACAGTTTGTTAAGTTTTTCTAAACTTCAAAAATTAATTTGGATTGAGATACAATGCAAATGTAAAATGAAATATTAGCTATTCAGATATAATTCCATGTGTGGATGTGCTTATTCTAAAACAAGAGTCTCAGTGATATTTATCTAATTAATCCCAAGTGTCCATGCTGTTCAGAAATAAATCCATGAAGTAAACAGAGAAAATAGGTATACCATTTCCAATTGAGTTACTATGCTTCATTCTCCTATACTCTTGCAGCACTTTCCCTTCACGTATGGTTCCTAGTGGGGATGCTGGAGTTTTCTCCCTTGTGATTTCTATCCTCTGGAATTCCTGTCTTTTTCTCATTAGCTCTTGTTCCATTTTCTTCTGTGGTAATTTTCTTCATACTGCATTGCTTTTTATCTTCCATCTTTTTAAATTTAATTTTAAATGTAACTCCATATTCACTATCTAATTGTCTTTGGGGTCTTTGAAGATTTACACAGAATACTTTGTACAGAAAATAAATCTGATGTAGATGAGTTTATCTGTGTTGTAGGTGTCTGGAACATGCCTTTAGACAGCCGATATGTCACCTTGACTGGAACAATCACCAGGGGAAAGAAGAAGGGTCAGCTGGTGGACATTCATGTCACCCTAACGGATAAAGAGCTGCAGGAACTGGCTAAGTCAAAGGAACCTCCTAAAGAAGATGTAACTGAGCAGAAGAAGAAATGTGATGTTGGGTTAGACAGAGGACCTCACATTGTCCTCTGGACCATCATCTGCCTCCCCATCATTTTTGTAGTGTCCTTCGTGGTTTCATTCTACTATGGAACCATTACATGGTACAACATCTTCTTGGTGTACAATGAAGAGAGGACCTTCTGGCACAAAATCACCTTTTGTCCCTTTTTGATTATCTCCTACCCAATTATAATTATGGTTGTTTCTTTCTCCCTAGGCCTGTATTCAGCTGTAGCCCAGGTAGCATGGTCCTTTGGGTACTGGTGGCACGCTGTCAGGGATATGGAGAAAGGATTCTGTGGCTGGCTCTGCAGCAAGCTGGGCTTGGAAGATTGTTCTCCGTACAGCATTGTCGAGCTGCTTGATTCTGACAATATCTCAGGTAGTCTCTCTGGCAAGAGCTCTGCACAGGGGGTTGAGACCTCAGCAGTCTGAGCCTTTGTCCTAGATGACTATTTTGGTCATACATCAGTGTTCTCACAAAGAAAATAACACACTGATTTTTAAAAAAAAAAATACATATATATTTAAACACAAACATAATGAATAAAATATTGGGCTGAGGGTCCTCTTTAAATGTAACAGAATGCAAGAATGCTAGCTTCACATGCTCTGGGTGGGGAGGTGCATGGTTTTCCAAGGATTTGTCATGTGTTGTAGCTAATTACAGCTTCTGGGAGTTGTATGAAAATCCAGATCTGCAGGATTTTGTCTGTTTGCGGAGTAGCAGAGACATATTATAAAAAGTCCACTTCTGTCAAGGTAGACTTTACTTTTCAGCAATAGGACACAGTAGTGACCTATGATAGAGTGAAAAGTAGTCTCTGCTTGGGGGATGAACTTCAAGAGATAGGAACCCATTTAGAGGTGAAGGCTGAATTGCAAAATATGTGATGTTTCTGCAGTTTTCTTAGAAAGGGTCCTTTCCCAGTCCTTCCAGCAAGAGCAGCTAATTTGGGCAGGCTGACTGCTTAGACACTGTCAGAGTCTAGTGTCACAGACCACTGGAATAGTGGGAGAGGACAGCATAGCTGCCAACAAAGGTGAGCGAGTTCTACACTGACCTGAAACAGCCACATTGCATGATGGAAGAGCAGGGCTTGCTTTGTAATGTGGTGTGTGGAGACCTGCTGGGTCTGTCACCTAGAATCCTCAAGTGGCTGCAGGTGCTCAGGTAGGTGCTTGGAACACATCTGCAGTGGATCTCTTGATATGTGCACTGCCAGGAAGGAATAATCTACAGGAGTCATACACAGTGTGCAGTGCAAACAGTTGTATTATAGGGAGGAAACACCTGCTCTAAGGAGGTGCCTGCTCCTAAAGAAGGGGTAATCCATTTACATCTCACTTCAATGCAGGTGTGGACTTGCAGCACCTGGATTTAGGGAGGTGGAGTTGAAGGTGCTTGGGATGTGAAGGGCTCTGAAACAAGTTATTTTGGTTTTGAAGTTGCTCTTATGGAAGAGCTGTTGGACCCCCCCTTTCAGAATGGGGGAGTCCAGAAGTTCATGTCTATGTGTGCCTCAGCTCTGGAAATCTGTGTTGCCTTCCTCACCTCATCCCTCTTCCTATTTAATTATATGGTAGAGCAATGGATCATACATCCTCCTACCCTCATGTCTCATTTTCATAATGGGTTTCCCTCCTTTTTGGATTTTTTATGGCATCATAGTGGGCTCTCTCTGAGCAGGCTGAGGTGACCAACATAGGCTGGAGAAATTTTAATTGTCTCTTAAAAAAAATGGAAAAATTAGCGGAAAAATTCTTTATTCTTGATCATCTATTGGGGTTTTGGCCTAAGCAGTAGAGGAGCAAAATAAAAAAGATGTGCAGCAGATTCTAATGGGGGCTGAGTAACACATCTGAAACAGTTAATTTTCTCAGTGCTCCAGTTCAGCTGGTGCTGCTGGAAAGTCTGTGAGCCCCAAGCCAGAGGAGCCCACCATTTGCTTGCGTGTAGGTAGGTAAGTGTGGCGTGCAGTCTGTCAGCTGCACAGTCACTCCTGTCTCTGTAGGTGTCTCCCTATCAGGGGGAACTGTGCTAGTTTTAGGATGGTAAAAAGAAGCATTCAGAAGCTGGATTTCACAGAAACTAATGCTTTGTGTTGCATTTTAAGGTTGAGTTCAAGACTACACTGACTGTCCTGGTTAGAACATCTGGGAGCTGGTGATGTATAAACAAGTCCATCTGATCCTCTAGTCCTGACACTGAGAAATAAGTAGTTCCTGCTTCATCCTGGGTTCCTGGGAGGTCAAAGGAGCCTCTTAACATTGGCTGAAGGCTCAACAGTAACTAATGCACAAGCCAAATATCAAGAGCAGTCTTGGCCTCACACTTAACTGGGAAAGCAGTGGTGCTCCCTGGGCACATGTAGAGCCAGGCTGTGTTTGTTGCTTCCTATTGTCATTTTTTACTGGTGAAGTATTTCAAAGCAATTACCAACTTCCAGAAAAAAAATAAATAAAATAGGCCCCAATCTGTGAGAAAACATCAGGTAGTTTAGTGGGATTCAAAGAGGCTGACATACAGCTGGGACTGGTTCAGGCAGTGCAATGCCTTTCACAGGCCTGTTCCAATCAGGCAGGCTGATACGCCTCTGAATTAATGGAGATGCTGAGGATAAGCCATGCCAGTGCTGGCATTCTGTAGCCACCCAGTGCAGCCACTCTGTTTAATACTGCTCCACATGGAAATTGCAGGCTCCCACATGGCTGGAGAGTGGGAATAAGTGATGCTAACAAGCATTAAGGAAAAAGAAGGTCCACTGACAAGTGTTCTCACGCTTTGCCTAAAGGGACACTGGCTGGCATGAAAGGGATGGATTGTGTATCTTGGCCCCAACATGCAGCAGACAAGTTTGGGGAAAGGATGGCTGGCAAGTGTGCATTGCTGCAGAGGGAGAAAACCCAATTCAGCTGTCACTGCCAAACAGCAGCTGTTCAAGGCTAGACGAAAGGCTGAGGTCAGTAGCACAAAGAGCCTTCGGCTTACAGAGGGCTTGGATGATAAATACCAGCTCATTACAGAATACATCCATGTGAAATGTCTGCTGAGCTGCAGGATTTGCTTTCAGGATTGCTAACAGCCCTCTGGAGTGGAGACAAAACCAAATCTGTGCCTCTCACTGCTACATAGACACAAAGGAGCATCAGAGAAATCATAGTACCCTCCCACTGCAGTGGCAGCTGTGCTTCTGGATTTGAAAGTCACATTTTGGGGGATATGCTGGGACAATCCATCATGTGTTTTCTACTTCTTTACACTTAACTAAGCTTTTTTTGGCTCCTGCTAAATTCAAGGCATTCTGTCATTGATTTTGGTGGGGGGCTATTTTAAGCTTGGGGTTAGTTCTGGTGCTTGGGGCTAGTTTTGGTGCTATTTGTAAAAGTTTAATTCAGACTTTTCTCTAAGTAACTGAATAGCTTTCTCTCTTTCCCACTATCCTCTGTAGCAGTTTGCCTGTTGCAAAATATATAATTATCAATTGTTGTTACAGAAAAAAGCACAAGTTTTTGTCTTGTTCTACCCTGCTTTCAGAAACTCACAAGTAATTTCTGCTTTTGTGCCACTGTCAGACTGCAGGGTTATTCTGATTGTTGAGTGTGTTTCTGGCTGCTCTAGTCTGGATGTTTTTTAAGTAAAGATACTGTTTGCTGATTGTTATTTTTAATTGCATTCCCTTTTCCCATCCTTGCTGGCCTGGGTGGAGAATAAAGATGTGTGTGGCTTTACAGGAGTGTTGCTCTCATGCTTCTGTTTTACTTTGTGTTAAAAACAGTGCTGTGGGATGGACACAGTCATTCTATGCTGATAATAGATTAGAATTCCTTGTGTTTGAAGATCCACTTTAAAGTGTGCCTGAAATGGGTTGAAGTTCTACACCTTGTTAAACAGTGCCTATCCAAATTGTCATATATCTCTGGAGCCTGCGTTCTTTATTTTTATTTCCTAGCTCACAAATGAAAGCTTTTGATTTAATTTTACTCATTGGGTGTCTGTTTAGCTTTAGCCACAAGGATCTATAGTGGGGGACACACTTCCATACCAAAACACGAGGTACTTTTAACTCTTCAAACATGGTTTGTGTGCCTGTGACTTGGAGCTGCTATTTACAGCTGTGCTGCAAAGATTTCTTACAACCCTTAGGTACTTCAGGCATGACTGTGATAAGTCAAAGGAGAATCCAACAGTGCAGTTCTTCAAGGTGTATAAATATTAAATGACACCTTTGGATCTCTCCCACATGGTCTTATTACAGCCCTACCCTCCTGCTGGCACAGGGAAAACACTTATTTAAAATCTTCTTCTAAGAAGGAGAGATGGATCTTCAGAAAACCCAAACAAAATTCCTAGATGAGGGCTAGCACAGCTTCAGTAAAACAGCTCTTTGAGTCAAAAAGCTGCCTGTAGGTAATTCCCTGAAACTGGAAGTGCAACAGCTGGAAATAGCAGGAAGGAGCTTTTGGTTTGATGCCTGCTGCAAACACGGCCAAGGGAACAGAATTCCTTATGTGGCAGATGTATTTTGGGGACTCCCCAACTCTTCACCCAGTGAAGAAGACAACAAAGGACACTCAGCTTCCTGTGAGATGGAGGTAGTGGGCCCAGAGAATTAGCTCATTAGCCTTTGCAGTTCTCACTTCTGAGGTGCAAGGTAATAATTTTATAAGCTAATGGTTATCAGTGAGAGACTTCTATTGAAGACCTTTGCATCAGGCAAAGCACACCTGTGTGATTGCACCATGTGTCTCACCAGGGAAAGAGGAGGTGCTAATTCTGCCTGCTGAATTCTGACTTACCCCATTCAGTTTCTTTGAGGACTGAAACAATAACAGCATGGATGTGCTTTTATCTACAGTTAGTCCCTCGAATTCACCCTTCTAGTTCCTCCAGCCTGTGCTTTGAATCCTAAGGCCAGGATCCTGCAATTCCTTGCTGAGATTATCAGCAGAGGCTGCACAATGGATCCTCATAACCACCCCCCCACAGGCACCTTTTAGAAGCTGCAATCACTAGCTAAGAAAAGCAACTCCAATGTGCTCTTGAAGCATGCAATTACAAAGAGAAAATAAGGATGCACAGACCACAGTTCTGCACTGTGATGGACACAATTTGGCTCAACATTTATGCAACCTCTTTTTGTCCCAGGCAGTGAATTATCTGTGGGATCAGTGCCCTCCCTGCTTCTTTCCAAGCATTTGGCAATGTGGAGGCAGTTGTATTAATGTGTTTTCATCCCTAGATTATACCATGGACATTTATTCCCTGAATGGAAAAAGGAAAAAAAAAAAAAAAAAAGGCGGTCAAATCAAATTTAGGAGGGGCTAATCCACTAGGAAACACAACTTTTCAATTATTTTGGTGAATTAGAATAGACATTGTGTTTGCTTGTCTAACTACTAAAGCATGATTTCTCTTCCAACAGGCAGCCACTTAATGATGAGAGAGGGCTTGTCGTTGTGTGTTAGGTCCAGGTAAATTACCAGGGGGTTCAAAAAGTCCCTAAGCATCCTTCCACATAACAGGTGAAGTGTGATTGCATGCAAACAAGCAGTCCAGAGAAACGAGGCTTGAGGGTCTGTCATGTATCCCCCCTGGTCACCCAGTTCCATTAACTTCCAGTTCTCCTAATTTCATGTCATTACACGGTAGCTGAAGTCTGTCAGAATGCATTAAAATACAGAGAATGCCTGAGTCAGGCCAACAATGCATTTTTCCCTGTGTCAAAAAAATGTCCTTGCTTTTAGTGTGCTAAAACAGAAAACCTTACTCCCAGAGTACAGCAGCTAAAATCCATTGTGGTTTGTATGCATTAAAATTAGATATGCCATGGATGATTTTGACCTGGAGCCCTTTAAGATACAATCTTTGATATGATCTCCTTGTTTTAGGGCTCCTTTTCCCAGCCATTTCTTCCAGGTGCAAACTTAGCTTTACAAGATAAAAAAGGATAACTACTGATTTCAATAGTATGTTCTGCCTGCAAATAGGATAAACCCCCCACCTGCCAGGCAACATGTTCCCCCAGAGCATGGTTTTTTACAAGTTCCTCCAGCAGTAATGTATATTAAGGTAAATATATTTGAATGTGCCTTAGACTGTCTTTATATATATGCCAAATTATTTCTGCTCCTACAGTGATAAGGTAAGAGAATAAGAGAATCAATTATTTCTACTACAAGATGCCAGCAAACTGGCTCATTAGGAGGTAACGCAAATATAATTTAATTTAGTCTAGCCTGATTATCTGAATAACCTGTAGTTGTGATCTGAACACCCCAAACATCATAAATACACTGAATGGCTGTTATAGTGTCAGTGCTGGGCATGAATCCAACAGCTCCTGGGTTAGTCAGCCTAAGGAGAGCATGCATTTTATTCAGTCTTTCTTTCTAAAATACATTCTTGTCCTGAAGTATGAAAATGTCAGTTTCTAATGATGTACTTAAATGTATCTGTAGTGAGATGCACTTATAATTACAGGCAATTACTAGAATATCCTTCCATGATAATGGAGATTTTCCTTAACACTTTATCTATGGATAAATGGCATGCAGAATTAACAAACAGAAGCAATTTTAACCTTCAATAATTTATTCAAATGAGCTCCTCTGTGACCTAAGAAAGGAGCAGAAATAATTCGTAGTACCTGCATGTAGTAAAGAAAAAAGGGAAATATTTAATATAGTGAGCAGTATCATCCCAGGCACACATAGTGTCATTGCTAAATAGTACCTCAGTTCTCCCCAAATATGTGTTGCTGGAGCTCCCTTCAGTGACTCACAGTAATTATAGCCCTGGCTTGTCTCTAATGTGATTAAACACCGCTGGAGCAATGGACTCTAATATCGAAACAGGCTCCAAGGCAAAAGTTTCATGTCATGGTTGTGACTTTAGCCAGCCCCATGATTACAGCAGGATTGCTCTGAGGCTCCAGTTCCACCCTAAAACCAGGTCTGTTTTGATGGCTAAATTTGCCATTTATTTCAATAGAAAGATATAAAAAATTAAATGTCTGTCTTGAATGTCTAGTACAAAAGAACCGGCAGAAATCATTGTCATCTTGATGACTTCCTTCCAAGGAATTTCTGCAAAACAATGAAATAACTGACAGGGAAAACTTGAAATTATTCTTCCCCTGGCTCTACATCTGACACTGTCACATATCTGCTAGTGTAATGAGTTAGCATCAATTCACACAAATAGAAACCAAACCTAATCCTTTCTTTCCTCTCAAATATAAACTCTCTCCTTCACATTGCGGCTTTGTCTCCCTAAGCTGTACAGACTGGAAATTCACAAGAATTAAAACATGACATCCTCTTCTCAATGCTGCAATGCTCCATTTCATAAGTGCAATTAAAGCAAATATTTTTCAAAAGATCAGAAATTTCATCCTTTCACTCTGATTTAATCTGCTTCCAGGTGCAGGCAAACAGATAGAAAATTAAAATGGGATCCTCTCAGCTCAGAAAGAGCCCAGTTTGGCAGCTGAAGACTCCTCATCCCTTCCCACAGTTGAATGGATAAGGAACAAAATCCTGTGCTGTGAGGATTAAATTAAATTATTAGCCAGCCCGTGTGTGTGTGCACGCAAACATGCACGATGGTGGTGAGGGCAGGATGAAACTAAAGGGGAGGATACTAAAGGCTTATCCTTGTGCATCTGCTAAGCAAATCCTTCATGCAGTGTGTTATCCCAGCTAGCTTGTCCTGAACAATCCGCTGCATGAAAGCGCTTTCAGAGCCCCTGTAAACACAGCTGCATTGCTGATGGCTGCCCGCAAAGGCACTGCACAGGCAGCGGTGTGGTACAGACTGCGAAACAAAGGGCACGTGCAGAGCAAGATGGATGAGATTCTGCTTCTGCAACAACCCCCCTGAAACAGCAGCAACCACTTGGTACTTAATACCTCTTAATAAAACACTGGCTTTCACTTTTTCCAAACACTATTTGCTACTCTTTTGCTAGGCTGATGCTTTCCCCGAAGCAAATATACCTGACATGATCTCTCTGGTCTTCTCCAGGAACCCAGGTGCTCTGGAGCTCCATTGAGCGCAACTATTTATATTCGGTTGAAAGAAAATCAGACTCTAAATGGCAGACAGTCCTATAAAATGTAATAAACAAATAATTTGTTGTAATAGATTTAACAGCTAATCCAGAAAAATCTGCCAGAATTGTTTCCACTGCAGACACATGTCTGGGGCTTTTCAGTTACTTAACAGTGGGAAATATTTTGCCTCGTCTGATATCAGGCTGAGTGGCCCTTGCATCACTCCCTGCAGAAATCCTTTGGCTAATCCACAGATTTAGAACTTGTGAAGCAATCCTTAACAGAAGCACAGATTTTAGATGTAGGAGGAAATTTTTAAATCTACTTCCCCAAAAGGTTAAATGTAAGAGCATATGGGTTTTTTGCTGCTGTTATTGCCTAATTTCTGCCAGACTCATGTGCAGAAATTCCTCTGCAGTTCGGCAGTGCTTGCTGGCTGATGCTACCTACTCCTGCGGGCTGCAGAGCTGCCTCTGCCTGGTGTCTGGGATCACGTTGCCCTCCAGTGGCTGAACTGAAAAACGGGAATAAAAGGCCACTGCAGCACTTCTCTCTGCTTTAGAAATGCTTCCAGAGTGATCTACACGCCATGAAATTGCAATGGTAATACTAAGAATTTATGTAATGCTGTTTTTAAAATATGAATATAAAACTAATCCTTCCCTCCCTTCCTGTTCCTTTTAGGTATGCAGTCTGGAACAATCTTCATCCTCAGGACTTTATGCTGATCTTTCTCTGGTTAGCCAGGCTTATACAGTGGGCCATGGGAGAATGTTTAATGAGAAACAAATACAGCATTTCGATTTGTCCGTATATTTGAGAGTGTGGTCAAACTCCATTTTTACAGATTGTGCAAAGAAATCTCTCAATAATACATGCTACTGTAATGTATGCATTCTTCTCAAAAATACTTTTGGGGTTTTTTTTTCCCAATAATATGTGACATAAATGCTGATAAACTAATATGTGGAAACAAAGGCACAATATTTAAAAAGATACAGAAGTCTAAAAAGGCTCAGTGCCCCTCTGAGCTGGCCCTTGCAGATGATTTTTTAAAATATTTAACATAATGAGGCATTTTCTGTTTTGAAAGTGAAGCTCCATTCACAAATGCCCGTGAGCATTCAACATTTATGCAGATCTGACATATGTCAAACTGAGCACTAAGAAAATGTGATTCACACAACCAGTGCTTACTGGTAAGAGACTTGGTTCAAGTGTTACAAATATCAGATTACAGGCAATCTGCTGAACAAAACCAGAGTTTAATTTTTAAAGTGCCATTTAGTTACCATAATCATAAGAATTTCCTCTTTCACTCTCTGTCTCCCAATTTTTGTAGCAAATGAAGCAAGAGTCTCATGACTCCTTGAGTGCACAGCCCTAACTTTATCCCAATATGTATTGAAATAGGCTATGACATTGTCAGACAAAAAGTACCTGGTCCTGTAATTGAATCTGTATCACAGTGTAGAGAAATACTTGGTTAAGATTGGAAAAGAAACTTTAATGTCAGAAATTCCTGTTATTTTGGAGCTGGGCTCTTTCAACTTTAATGTTCTCTTTACTTCTTACAGAAAGACAAATAAATAAAGAAAATGAAATTATATTAAATAGTCTCCTCCTGACAGTCACATGAGATTCAGCTGGGATGAAACCTTTGGACCCACAGCATATGCTGTGGGTCCAAAATTAGCCTTTTGAGCTAATTAAATAATTGACAGCTGTGGAAGACTGTCCATTTATAAAGGTCATCTGCAATCAGGCAGCAACACAGTTAATATCAGCAGCAAAAAAGTGATTAGAGATGAAACAGGAAATGTCATCAGAGCTTTGCAGTGGAGATGTTTTCAAATCAGCTGAGCCATGTGAATTCCATCCAAGGCAAATATAAAACTGGCCAAAGCAAGCTTTAATGATTTACCTTGAAAATCATGTGTGAGATTACAAATATAGTGTCTACTTTGAAAAGGGATGAGAGAGGGTAAGGATGTTAGGGAGTCAGAGAATCTCTGTGTTCTAGAGAGTGGAATGTAGTGTAGCAAATAATTAAGCCTTTAGTAGATACTCAGAACACAATAAGTAAAAGGAAAACCGGGGGGTGGTGTTTAAGGACAAATGTTGTTAAATCATCTACCCACCTTCTTTATTTTTGTTTTTTTCCTTTATTAAATTGCAGTCTCCTGAGCAGGCTGGGAAGTGTTGTGCATTTTGGTGTGTGACAAAATAGGTGTAAAAGTGGGTAGAGTGATATATCTTAGGATGTGCCTAGTGGTCATTCCTAACAGTGGCCACCTTGTGCTGTGCAGTGTCCTTTCATGACCTAATAACAAAGCTGAAGATAAAATAGTTCTTATGAAATCCGGAAATGTCACCAGAACAAGGGGGATGGCAAGCACCATGGCTGAGAAGATTAGAGCTAAAAAAAAAAAATTATTGTTGCAATTTCATAAAGGGATTGAAAGAGGAAAGAAACCAGGATTCAACAGATATACATGCTGTTCAGTTCATTGGAAATAAAAACCAGCAGGTGGTTAGAACTACAGGATGGGCAGCAATTCTGCAGGACAGTACATGCAGGCTTCAGAAGAGTGTGATTCTCAAGTGTGATTCCACGGCAGTGCGGAAAAGGTAAAAAACCACATGGGGGAAAATGGGCTGTAAACACTGTTGGCCTGTGATTTCATGCTTTCCCTCTCTGTGGCACTTGATAAGGCCTCTGCTGGTGTACAACAGGCAGTGGAAGGGGGGTTTTATCTGCCTGAGAAACATGTAATCACTGCATAATCTGGAGAAGGGGAAGGGATGGGAAAGAGGAAGCTGTAAATTCAGCAGCTGGGGTGGGGAGCAGTGACAAGGAAAAGCGACAGTGACACCCCTGTGGGAGAGGAACTGCAAACATGGAGCCTCTGTCTCTCAGCTTCACGCTGAAGGATTTGAAGAGCTATTTCTCCTCTGCAGTGCTATGGGTTTAGGAGTTCTGGGTGTGTTTATCAGCTCTGATCCACCCATTTGCCACTGTTCAGGAGCCCCTGAACTGGAATGTGCCTGGCAAGACACAACCCCAGTCAATACACTCTCCTTACCCGTTACCTCTCCTTCCTATGTCTTTCTTTTGTGTTTTCAGGCAAGGTTGGATGGTGTTGTATAATCTTTCCTATTTTGCTAATTTTCCTACTGCAATAATGTCTTTGTTTCCTAAGGGGCTCATTTCTTTGCATTGCATGAACTAAACTGAAAATGGACAAAACAGGTAGACCAACAGGACTGCTAAATCCCTCAAAGGATTTTTTAGAAGTTATTTTTCAGTTTATTAAAGGCACAGTTTTTTAATGTGCCAAAGGTTGTTGAGTCACAAGCTCCGTGGACTTAGAGCTGAACCCCAAAGCCAAAGACCAGTTTTGCTTTAGAGAGTGAATCTCTGAGATCTTTTCCCTGAGGGTGTATTCCATAGAAGCAACTAAGCAAATACTGTAAGTTAGGCTTATATCCCTTGGGAAGGGCCATCAGAAATCACTAAACAACCATAATAAATACTAGCGTTATTCTGCACCACAGTTTTGGCATGTTCTTTCAAGCAGGTGTTTGGAAAGTCCTCTTGGGAGAAGATAACTACATGCCTCACAAAGCCCAATGTAGGAGGATGCTAACACATGTGCTTCCAAGCTCTGCTTTGTTTTGGGTGCCAATTTCCCATCTACTTTGTCTTCCAGCCTGTTGCCAAGCTTGTACTGATGGAAATACAAAGCTGATTGGTGTCACAGCATGTTTGCCCTGCTTTTGTTTGTATGTAGAAAATTCAGTTCATAATACCTCAGTTTACAGTTAGTGCTCACTTTTAAGTATCATCCCAGGCAAAGAATAGGTAGTGATTGCAAAGTTAATTCTATTTTTCTGTAGAAAACTCTGCTTCGTGTATCCATTTCAATAAAGCTATTGGGCTAGATCCCAGATGGCAATGGTATTCATCTTTCCACCAGGCATTTATCCAAAGTTTTACCCTGTGGGTAAAGAGGGAAAAAGGCCAAGTCATCTTGCTACTTTTACATGTAAGCCATTTACATTTGCTCAGAGATGCCACAAGCAGCTGTGTCTCAGCTATAACTCTCTGGGTAATACATTCCTTCTCATAAAAAACCAGGGAATACATTTTCCTTGCTGCCTTGTAAAGGCATTGAGTGGAGTTAAGCACAGAGCAGACCATTCGTTGCTGCTTCCCAAGAGTGTGCTTACTTAATCCAGGCTTAGTTTGGGGGGAGAATTAACCAAAGAAGGAATGAGCAGAGCAATGAGGGAGACCATCACTGACACTGAGGTGGCACACACTTTGGTGTGAATGAGATTACAGCTGATCACCCCAGATCCTGAGTCCTCTGAGATGTCATATATTTATTATTTGTACCCAGAGACTGGCATTCTATACAATAGAAATGGACAATTAGTCACAGACTTTTTTTACAAGCTTTTACAAGCAAAGATCCTCAAATCTTCATCCAGGCTAACAAAGCCCCAGTGCCCCAGATGGAGTTGATTAGTCAGATTTGATTATTACAATAAGGGAGCTCTGTTCAGACTTAAAATGAAAAAGGAAATGTGGATTAAGGTTTGTTTCAGGAATGATTAGCCAGTTTTCCTATGAATGGTGGAAACAGCTCTGAAGAAATCTGGCATCCTGAAGGTGTGAAGTGGAAATGTTTGGGTTTATTGTTTATTTTGCCAGAGAGCTAAAAGCCCCTAGTTATGTCAGACTGAGAGCTAAAGGACAGGAATATCACAGATGGAGTTTCATGGTTAAAGGTGTCTTTAGTTTTACTTAGACTTTGAAAGGAAATAGGATACTGGTACCTGAGCTGGGCATACAAACTTCCTGCAATCAGAGGTTCCCAGTTCTGGCCCAAATTGGGTTTCCCTGAGTAATGTTTGCCATTACAGCTCTAGCAGCAAGAGCTTGGACCAAAGCCTGGGATTCAGCTTTCATGTCAAATCTAGGATTCAGAGAGAAGGGGTTTATGTCAATATTCTGTTCCAGCAGTCAGGGCTGGGGTTTTACTTTCCAACCCCAGCAAAAAAAATAAAATGTTCATTGATCATGATGCCTTGCAAAATGCTTTTCTGCTGGTGTGTGAAAAGCTATTACTGATTAAATTGATGAGTTCTTGTTTCTCTATTCTCCCCACATGTGTGTACACATCTCCTGTCTTGTGCCTAGTATTCAAGCTATGATAGAAATCAGCTGGAGTGGGTTTTGCCTGGTCATGAGCCCAAGGGAGGGCTTTTGGACTAAGATAACATCAGGAATAATAATAATGATAGTAAGCAGCCTGATTTCTTTGGCTGATTAATCTGAAATCTCCTTAGAGACATTCAGGAAGACAATGCAAGATTTTCTCTGGCAGTAGCTGACTGGGGTTTTTTGTCTACTGGTTTCCCCTAAAATGTTTGTCACATTGCCAAGCTGCTCTATTCCTTTGATATGCAAAGTGCTTTGAAGAGAGAATCCCTCAATTCCCAAAGCATGGCAATGTAGTAAGGAGGGAAAGGGGATTTTTTTGTCTTCAGACATCACTCAGAATAAAAAGGAAACACTTGTGTTTGTAGGGTCATCTTCTGGTACAAGATTTTTGAAGTGTTCAAATGAGATTTACTCTTTTGTAGCTATACTAGTATCCCCACTTTGAGCTCTGTTTTAAGAATAATTACAGATAATATGTAGGTTTTGAGATATACCTAGAAGTGAAAGACACTAGTAATGATACCCTCAAAGGATACAGGGAAGGTAATGAAGAACAAGAGGTACAAAATACATGTGATGAAATACTTGCCATTGTCATATATCTCTAATGATTTAATAGCCAATGGGCACCAAGATATACCTGATATACCATCTATTTTACTAGGATTTAAAATCAGTGGGTTTGATCAAACAGCCTGGATGTAGTGTGGTTCTGAAATTCTTTCTTTTGTTAATGGTGGGAGAAAGATAGTGTTGTGCCGGTGTTTAATGAAACAATCCCGACCCACTGGTGATTCATGGGCAGAATGCAACTTTTGGGATGCTTCAGACAGCTGAAATCCTGTCCTAGTGGTGAAGGGGAATGGCTGCTCCCCGTCAGGCTGTGTCCTGTGGGACTCTGGGGTGCCATGAAGAGGAGTCTGGAGAGCCCTGGAGACAGCCCCCCTGAGCTTGGCTGGGATAGAGTTCATTTTCTTCACAGAAAATTCTTCACAGCAGTTGGTATGGGCATGTGTTTTGGGTTTGTGCTGAGCAGGGGGTTGATAATAATTGTTAATATTATTGATACAGTAATATTATAATATATATAATATAAACTATACATTATATAATATATTATAATATATTATATATTATAATATATATAATGTTATATTATAATATTAATATTATTTGTAACTATTATTGATAATAGTTTTTGTTATTGCTGAGCAGAGCTTACAGAGCCAAGGCCTTTTCTGCTTTTTGTATGGCCATGTGTGCAAGAGAGTTGGGGGTGACACAGTTGGGACAGGTGACCCCAGCTGACCAAAGGGGTATTCCAGACCATATAACATCATAGTGTACAAAGGGAAGAGGAGGAAGAGGAAGAGGGGCTATTTGGAGTGATGGAATGTGCATATTGGAGTCTTCCCATCACCATTACCTGTAATGGAGCCCGGCTCTCCTGGAGATGGCTGAACACCTGCCTGCCCTGGGGAAGCACTGAATTAATGCCTTGCTTTGCTTTGCTCGTGTGCACGACTCTTGCTTTCCTTACTGCGCTGTCGTTAGCTCAACCCACGAGTTTTCCAGCTTTAACCCTCCCGATTGCTCCCCAGCGCTGCTGGTGAGGGGTGAGTGCGTGCCTGTGGGGCTGGGCTGGCAGCGGGGACACATCGCCATGGGTGAGGGACGGGGGAACCGCGAGGTGCTCCAGGACAGGACAGAAGAGCTTCTGCCACCTCCTCTCCTCAGGGATCCCTGTCCGCCCACCGCGGGCTTGTCCTCGGCTGCGCTCTGCTCGAACTACGGCCAAAATGACAGGCACGCCTGTGTGGCGCTTGGAGGGCGGGCTGCGGGGAGCCCTGAGGAGAAAGATGCGGGAGGCAGCCGACATCTCCCCTCCTTCCCCCACAGCCTGCCCTGGGTCAGTTTCGCCCTCAGCCCGCCCGAACACGCCCCGCCCGAGCGCCATCCGCCGCTAGGAGGCGCTGCCCCCGGCGCGCCGTGTTCCCGGGGGGCCGCGCGGCGGGCGGAGCGCAGCGCGTCCCGCCCCGGCAGCAGCGCCATGGCGCCCGGCGGCAAGGTGAGGGCGGGGGTCCGGCACCCACAGGCACCATCCCTGGCACCCACCCCTGGCACCCACCCCTGGCACCCGGCGGCTCCTCCCGTGCTGGTCGCCGAGCCGCTGCCGGTGCAAAGCTGGCTAGCTCAGAGGGAATCTGTTCCCGCTTCAGAGCACAGTGCAGCTCCCGCAGCAGTGACTGCCATTGCTCTTGCTAGAGTAATGCCGGAACTGGTTTTCTCTGTTGAAAATGCAGTTCGTGTGTGTGGTGCGTTTAAGGGAACTTATTGGTGAAAGCTGTGTTGAGGTCTCTCGTGTTACGGGGCAGTTTGTTATCTGATAAACACAGCCTTATCTGTGCTGCTGTAGCCATCTCTCTCTTTGCTTTATTACAGCTACTTCAGCACCGAGAGGCCAGAGATAAAGGCGGCTTGTTCCATATCACCCTTATCAGTACCTGGGCAGAGCGAGTTGGTGTGGCTCGGTGTGACAGCGCTGTCCTGCGGTCACACGTGCCGAGCTCGGGGCGGGTGTCCCTTAGGACCCCGCGGCTGAGAGCAGCTCTGGGTGCTCGGGTGGGGTGGGCAGAGGTTAACAACAGCTGGAGAGACACAGAGCAGGGTTACCGCCAGAGCTCTCCTCTTCCTGAAGGAAGATTCCATATGCCTGAACGGGCACCCAGCTTGGGTTTGCTGCCTTCCAGAAGAGCATCTTGGCACCTGACACTTGATTGTGTGTCTCGTAAGCAAAACAGCAGTTCTTCATTCCTGCACTTCTTTGGCTCCTCTGCTGTCATCCTGCCATCTATGAAGGGAATTTAACCCCTTTTGGACAACAGGATGGATTTGGCTGCCAGCCATTGTGTGTTTTTTGGGAGCACAGCACCAAGCCAAGGAGGGTCAGCAGCTGCTGCTGTGGTAGATACAGTGATTCCTCAGGCTGGAGGTGGGCACTGCCAAGGCTCTTGTGAGAACGCAGTGCAGCCTCTGTAACTGCCTCTGCTCCACTCTGAGCTTCTGCAGACCTGGCTGACTCTGGCACTTTTCCCCAGCTCCCAGGCAAGGCACTGGTGAAGGCAGGGTGGGGAGTAGAGTGCTCACACTGAGTGTAACCTGCTGGGCAGCTTGTGGAGCTCTGCAGCTCAGCAGGTACTTGGAGTTGCTTGCAAGGCCATATGCAGAGCTTAGACCAACACCTTTTCTCGTTGTTCAACCATTTTGCTTTGAAGAAGCAGACTCGACATCTTGTGCCACATGGCAGATTTAGGATTATTGTCCACATTTTGTCAGCTTCATTTCTTCTGGAATTGGATATATTTTGTATTTTAAAACAAGTCACCTGCCTCCAGCCTAGGTAATACCTGACTTTCCTGTGTTCTGGCAAACAATGTTTTTTCAGGCAGTTTAGTCTACTGGCAGCTCAACAAGTAAGGTTTTGATGTATATTTAGGATACTTGGTTTAATCCATGAGAATAAATTTGAGCTGGCTTTGGACATGCAGAGCTTCATTTTGCTGAATTCCTCTTTCAACTACATTTATCTAGATGCTTAATCAAGATAAGGGGAGTCTGTGAAAGAATTTGAGAGGAACTTACAGAATCAAGTAAGAAATAGCAAGAAACTATTTAATTCTAGTGTGTAAATCAATTCATGGACAGACTTGGGC